CATAAAGCATGAATGATGAAACATAAAGCATCCAGCTGACAATTTGAAGAAATACAAAGCAAAACATACTGCGCCTGCGTGGCGAAATAATATAGCACTTTGTGCGCTCAAGATTAGATTTATAAGAAGACACGATATACGGTATATCAATTCTTGCTGTTGTTTATAACTCACATCTTGAGCGCACAAGATGCTATTATTCTCAATCATACTTTGTTTTGCAGAAAGTAACCACTTACCATAAACGTTTGGCACTCTTCTACACACGTTTATGTGAAAATATGTTTTAAAAAAATCCACTTGCTTCTATACAGTTCTACTTTATAAAACAGTAAAACACTGTGAGTGGTGGCGCCACGTGCGTGCAGCATGGTATTCACGCATGCATAAACGGAGGATCACTTTTGGGGTGGAGGTAGCCTGCATATACAGGCGTTTAGTGCGGGAATCAGCCCTGTGTCGGGGGAGGGTCAGGTTTAGAGGTGTGCATCGGATAGGATTGGACGTTTATAATCCGACAATTGGCCAATGTTTAAAATCCAATCCGATCCGAAGGAATCCTTCAATAAAATAAATTTCTCATTCAAGTGGAAATATTTAACCAAATAATGATTATTATATATAATTAATTCATTTTATTTCGAATATCGAAGTCCGATCCGATCTAACTACGAAGCAATTTTATCAATCCGAAATTAATATTTTTGTTCTGAAATCCGATCGGATTCGGATCAGATTTGCACATCTCTAGTCAGGCTATGAATGTCTTTGTATGATGATATACATCATAGAATCAAGGATGACCGTATGATGATATACATCATACAAACGAAGAGAATGGGGTTGCTCTGAAAATGTAGAAAAATCATAGAAAAAGCATGACCATAGAAACCCAATGATTAGCCATGCAACAGGGTCTCTTTATTTTTATGATGTATATCATCATACGGTCATACTTAAATCTATGATGGTTTTCGTTGCCCCCCCCATCAGGGCGAGGTTTAGATAGGTTAAGTGCCCCTGCTTAGGAGGGGTTAGAGTGGGGTGAGTTTAGGGTCAAGTTATCAATGTGTGACTGTCTGTATGCCATAATATACATATACAGTATATCATATGCATAAAAGTACACCTGCATGCATGATGATATACATCATAAAAATGAAGTGATCATGCTGGGTTAGCCATGCTAAATATTTGACTGCTATAAATTAAAATATTCAAATATTTAATAAAACTGTGACAATATAGATAACAATTGTAATGTGATATGACACGTTTGTCTGCGACGAGCCTATAGTATTGTTATCTTAAGTACATTGAATTCTATTTTCGCTGTATTAACAAGGCATACACTGTTTTACGAAAAATTTGAACCATGTTAGTCAAACATTTAAAACAGCATTGGCGAACAATGTATCTTGAAGCATATGCATGAGCGTAGCAAGCCACAAACGAGTGGGGAGAAATATTTCTATTGTTAGTGTCTGCGAACGCTATTTCATGGATTTTAGACACTTTTTATGTTCATCTGAAAGCCACAGATTTCGTATATTTTATGCCGAAATATACTTGAACCAAATAATAATATAGAACTGAATAATATATTCGTAATCCTATCGGAATGCACCGGCAATTTGTGAAGCCTATATATCTTCACGACAATTCACAGCTTTAGTCCAATTTTCAATCAAGCTAGGTAACCCAGGTTGTTTATTGTGATTGGATCCATAATGCACTGGTGTCAGAGTGGTGAGGAAAAAATGCAATAGTTACAGGTTAGGTTTTGGCTCACCTATAATCAGCAAGGTATATGGATCTATGACCAAAACGTGTATCTTGCAAAACAATTATCAAAATTGTCAGTATGATCTCTCAGCCCCCTAGCCCTCCCCTCCCCCACATACACTATTGTAAACAGTAATACGGCAGTTTTTATTCTCACGGGATTCGAACTTCAGCACATGCATGCATGTCAAGGAAACATGCATGCATGTCAAGGAAATAATATACCGGGCCGAGGGAGCCATGCACTGTCCCGGGGTCCACAACTATCTTATCATTGGAATAAGATCAGTGGCATGACTCCCACCTGAATATTTACGATTTCTGTGGTCCGATTAGAGAAAGAGAGCAGACTCTGAGGAATTCTGAAGTTTTCTTGGCTAGCCTGTTTCTTGAAAAATATTACTACTATTATTATATTACTTACTAGTAATAGATTAATTTCCAACCACTAACTAGGTACAATAACATTAAATTAAATCGGCTACAAAATACACGAAACTATAATCACAATGAATTACAACAAATATCCAATTTTCATGGACTGATTTGAATTAACATCATGGTTAATTTAACTCGAAATTAAGAGCTTACATCAGGAAAACAGGAAAAAACTGAATGATAAATACCAATACTCGGACCTCATATGGAACACGAGTAGTGAATATAATCTGTGCACGGTGATGACGATCACTAAAAATACTGAATAGAATATTAGATGTCAAATCTAAAATAAGAGGTTCTTCAAAACTGCACGAATGTCAAAATGTTCGACGTTGGAACTATCAGCTAAATGTAAATAATTAGAGAGTGTAATTATTGAATATTGGATAAATACGGCAGGATTGTTTCCATGTAAGAAATATTTTTACTCTCGCCTTTGGAAAATGTCTTCGTTTCAAAATGATATGAATAATTTAAGACAATAAAGCTTTTACTAACCTCATGTAACAAATGCAATTAAAATTACCACCGAAACACGGTTTTCTGTAAAATTTTAATCATGTATCTCATATTTTGGTTTAGAACTCTCCAAGAGTGGTAGAGTAGACCACTTGAAGAACACGCCTTCATTGCCACGATATGCACTACTCATCCTTTATTAAGATAAATATTCTTTTGTCTACATTCAGTTTTGCTTTCACATTTGCGCTTTCTCCGCAAACATACAATTTTACGAATATACATATAAATTAATCGACAATTTATCATCGTTAAAAAAACTGACAGCCATTATGCAAATGATATGCAAAGACTAAACAGTATTTGGAATTACTTTCATATTCAGACCACCCAGATGACATAAAACGTTTGTGTTTACAACTCGATCGTGCCTTCAGAAACTCTTTTCAATCTATATCGGTGAAGTTTTAAAACTACAATTCATTTCATTATCGTTTGGTACGTCTCACTTTTTTCACTTTTGCGTGGTCTCGAAGAGTTAATTGAATCATTTTCTGAAAAATTAATTTCTGAATACCTATTACGATCAGGAAATGCGGCCCAAACTAGTCTTAGGTTATCATAAAGAGAGATATTTAACTTTTCCTCTAGCCAATATAGCGATATACGAGTAAAGTTCGTTTTCAAATATTCTTTAAGATGGCCAGATTGTCGTCCAAATTCCGTACCATGCATGCTAATTATTACCATGCCTGCAAATCCCGCTGCAATTTTTATACGCGGTTTGATCTCTCTTGGCCTTGCTTACAACTGGTTATAATTATAAGCTCAGTTTCTTCCAAGGCGTGAAATTCCATTTATTCCAGGAAATCTACAAGGTCAATAACGGCAGATGTATCACACTAGTATCAGTGCATGCACAGATTGTTATAATATGAACATGTTAGACCACATGAATTTATATTTCAGTTTCGTAGGAAGCAAGATTAAAAGAAAGTAGAAACGTATGCTCAAATTCACAACGAAAACTAAGTATTTTTTACTATTTTGGTTGCGATAGGGAAGGAGCAGGAAAAATAATAACACACTCCTTGAAAATCTATTGGTATGGGTACAAAACATTCAACGTAAATTTCTCACTTCGAATATCTGACGTCTCGTCAACCACTCATTATACTTTATAGTTCGCACAAAACGCCTGTGCATGAATCAGAGGTTTTCAAATTTAAGGAGCCATCTAAATATTCCCTCGTTCAGCTTGACATGTAATTTTACGAAGTTTGAAATTTTATCATAAAACGCAAAGAAATTTCTCGGCTATACATGTGCATGGAAACCAAACTTCCTTTAATTGAGCAGAAAGCGTGATTTGGTTTCCCGGCAAGTGCTTGCATGTCGTGCATGCATGCATGCAGTCGAACTAATAATTTTTTTCGTATGGCATTCTAGTAATGTTGTACTCAAAGACAAAGGCCAAGTATTTGCTAAATCCTTTAAAATATTTGATTTTGTTGTCAAGTCAGACCGTCAATGTAAACGCAAACTTAAAACTAATTGTCGGTCACCTGCGCAACTATATAGGCTAAGAATATAAGATGCGTATTGAATTTGAATTTTCAATTTGCTTCACTGAATCTTCTCTATTCCACATATATCGTTCCCTTCATCTGAAAACTAACAAGCTACACGACATTTAGTTATATAAAGTGTTTATATATATGTTTAGTACAAGCATATATTACATATACTATATATCGTGAAGCTAACTATAGACGACTAGTTTTAGGCAAAATATTACCGGCATATAATTGCTGGATCCCAGTAATAAATGCATTGAGGTGGCGTATATCTATAACAGTGTGTCCATATAGGACAATATACAAAACATGTAAAAATTGATCTTGTTTTATATACGGCTTTATATACCGACAGTATATTGTTATCAGTAATAATAATATGTGCATCCGGCGCCATTCTTTTCTTTACAATTCACATTTAATTTTTGCTCTTATCGAAATGAGCTACCTAAAACTACAACTGATAATAGTTTATCTGTTTGAAAATTAATAATAGATTAAGCCATTATTTCGTTTTACATGGCCAGCTGTATATAGCAACAACGCGTTCTGCATTCTAGGCATTGCAGTCAAATCTAGACAAAAATATTGCAGAAGTGCAAATATATATCAATGCATGGTTCTGTATATATAGGGACACCTGATGTATGGACGTATACTCAAAGTTTTAAATAAAAACTACTATACTTGTGTAACATCCCTGCAGTATTAAGTTCAAAACCCCTATCTATTAGATATTCACATGCAGCTTGGATTCTCAAGCAGTTTCATAAACGTAGGATATTGTTTTGCTCCAGCCACAAATTCTGCTTCGTTTATATTCCCATCCTTGTTCGAATCAAGCAAAGAGAATATTTTATGAGCCATTCGTTCAGGGGTACTTTCATCTCTTGCCAACTTAACTTTTGTTCTCCCAGCAACTTTAAAGACAGCTCGTACAATTTCTAACATTTCTTCTCGGTTGATTGTCCCACTGCCGTCTATATCATACATAGAGAATGCCCATTTTAACTTTTCCTCCTGGGAACCGCGGGATATAATTGACAAACTGCACAAAAACTCACGAAAATCTATAGTTCCGTCATTGTTTTTATCAAATGTTCTAAAACAATGTCTGGCGAATTTCTTCGCGTCTCCGTCAGGAAAATAACTGCAATATAACTCTTCAAATTTACTACGCGACATTTTACCGCTTGGACAATCCTTTTTGAAGATATCATGCCATTTCTGAATTTCTTCATCTGAAAACTGAGTCTTTGATCGAAGTCTTTCAAGATGTTCACCTGATAAGGTGCTATGTTTCTTGCCCATATTTTGTAATTAGTGGAGAACTAAGAGGATGAAAGACTTTCTTTCTTTCACAGTAATTACGAGCAAGTTTGAAAGCTTTACGTTAACATCTGCTATTTAACTGTTGCTACGCCACACGGAGCTGACCAAAAATTTGCATTTTAATATTATACTTGGGTAATATTTTCCAAAACAATTCCCCGGCTAGCTTATACAAAACCAATGAAAATACAAAATGCTCTCACTTTGAGCATTACATATTGTACCGCCCAAAATGGTGAATAATTAATAACATCAATTTAAACTTCATTTGAATTGCGAACTAAACGCCAGACGTTCAGTTAAGTAGTAAGCCTTGATCAATGATATGTAAATTTTGAAAGTCTACAAATGTTCACAAAAACACTATCAGAATTCTAAGCCAAGTGTGCTGGGGAAACAGCTGTTTTAAGCATGGTAGGAGTACTAACTTGACTCTTGTCATTTGTGGGCAATCGGCACCTATAACACATACAGCGTTCTGTGATCTGCCCCATACTGACCAGGCAACATGACGCCTGTTAACAACTAGCGATAGCGTGAGCCCACGCAACATGATATCTCAGGACAATTTAATAATCATTATAGTGCTCATGATACGCACAATTCTGTCAAAACGACTGAAAAATAATAATGGTCATAAGTATATACATATATATGCATGAGTTGAAAATTAGCCAGGGCCTCCATATTTAATGTATCTATCACCTTCGCATACATGCATGACACGTTTAATTCGTGATGCAAATCACTACCGCTATACGGCAAATTTACCGTAGCGTAGTCACCGTAGTGATTTGTTCTGGAGTTCCAAATGTAGTGGTCCGTAGTTAATACGCCACGGCAAACCACTCCGTTATAGTGTAAACACAATACTAAGAAACGTAGTGAATTTTTAACGAAATTGATTGTAGTGGTCCGTAGGCGTAGTTAGTACGCTACGGCAAACACTCGGTATAGTGTACACACAATAATCAATCATAGTCTGAATACTAGAAACGTTGTCAGAGCGTAGGAACCGGGGGGGCACGTGCCCCCCCCCCCCAATTATTTCAACGGACCAAAAATGCCCTTTTTTGTGATGAAAAGTGCCCTTTTTTGTGACGAAAGGTGCCCTTTTTTGTGATGAAAAGTGACCTTTTTTGTGGTGAAACGTGCTTTTTTTGTACAAGCTAAGTTGCTGTAAATACTATTTGGGTGCCCTTTTTTGTTTCCTAAACACATTTACATGCCCTTTTCATGATCTAAAAGTGCCCATGGAAACCGGTGCCCCCCCCCCACGATCCTTTGGTGCTTTTTACGCCCCTGAACATAGTAAATTTTTAACGGAATGTTAGCCGTAGCGTTATAGTGTGAACGCGGCCTTAGATGACTCCAAAATTCAAGAAATATTATATGTACTGCGAAAGCAGGAAAAATTTGCTCAAGTTTAAAAATGGTTCGAAAGTAGAAAATTAATTTTGAATATTTTAATATTACATGTCATTCTAATGGTTGCATGCAAGAATTATATGACTTAATTCTACCTATAATATCTCAGGTTTAATTGGTTTTCCAAGGGCCGGCCGGCTACAAATTAGTTTGTGATGCCGCAGCTATTCTATTAACATGATTTCCCCCATCTCAATCATGTCATACAGGCAATTTATTCCAATTTTTATCTCAAAAAAGCCAAAAAGAACTACATGGAAAGCATTCACTTGCTTTAAGTACTGATTTTCCAAGAAAATTCGGCATTATGTTTGTGTATATCCAGTGAAAATAGATATAAACCATGAGATTTTTTTGAAGGAATGTTTTGCACAGTAATTAAGCAGTGTTTAATTCGCGTGGGTATTTCTAGACCTAAATTAAACGAGATAACAGGTAGATAGAATCAAAACGAAGATACTTTGTTATTAAACACTACCTACACTGGAACCCCAACTTTGAGATATTATCACTACTATTTATGCGTGATCTCCTACACAAAACAAGGCGGGAAAGAGAACAGTAAGTCACTAAATATAGCAAATCACAGGTTTTAAAAATTTTCAAATACAAAATTTCGCAGAATAACAGTGTCCTATATAGCACATGCAGTTGAAACCTGAATAACCTTTGCTGTAGATGATGACATTAAACTACTTAATTCTTAAACTTCATTATGAGAACTGAAAATAGCAGTGGAAACAACCAACTCTTGTCCATATAATGTTTTGTGTTTTTAAGATAATAGGTCAATAAACAGACTGCACATGAGTTTTTATATATTCATGCATATATTAATACTGCATGAGTAAAGTGGCTTGCTAAAATATTGACTTGATGTTATCTTCCATGGCCTCGATTTTAATAACGCGGTCGAATAAAGAGAAATATTAACGAACAAAAATACTTTTAATTGTTTTGTTTTTCTGGAAAACACCATGTTTGTGTATTTTACAATGCCTTCGATCCCCTACTCCGGATCTTTATCAGTCAATCTCTCATCGTGATCATAAGTTTTCGCATTTTCGTTTCAATGAAGAAACAAACCTCCTCAGATTCTTGTTGCTTTGCATTTAAGCTTACAATTACTTGGTTGAAAAAACCTGCACATTTCTTTTGGAAATCAGCGCAGGTCTTTGCAGTTTCACTTAACTCAGATTCAACGCACATTCACAATATATATTATTTATCCCATGCAAACCAACAAAGAATTTAAAACAGCTTTTTTCATGACTTTCTTATCGTGTAAATATTAAAAAACGGCTGAAGGAGACATTAGTCTGGAAAACTTATCTATATTTGAAATGAACGAGACAAGATTTTTTGCTTTTTGTAATTAAATATGGACAATATGTGGTTAGAAATATTATTACCAAGTTATTACGTGATTATTTAATAAAATTGTATCGTGTGTCTGTATATAGGCTATTGTAGTATTGAAATATGTATCGTCCAATTTGAGGGCGCATATTTATAGCACGTGTGTAAACTCTACATATACAATCAAGCTTGACATTGATAAATATCTCAAATTCATCAAAACTGAGTGGGGTGTAGATACGCAGGATTCTTATTTTCAGTTTATAATTCTTCCTGCATTCCTACTACCACAATTTCCAAACATGCATATATACATTGTAAATTTGAAGGCGTTGAATCAAAACTCCAAAAGTGTTTTAGGGCAAAAACGGTGACAGAATAACACCGCTTTTCTGACTCCTTCAAATTTACAGTGTATGCAGATCTGTTTCAAAGTCAAACTTTCATGTGCCGATTCTAATGCAAATAAGTCATTGTTTTAAGCTCAATAACATTAGATCGCGTCAATAGGCCTCAATCATGAGCTTGAAACTATAGAGTACCCAGGTATAGACTATAGAGTACAAACAACACACTATATATAATTATACTGCAATCATGTCATGTGCTAGACTGCATATGTGCTTTTAGGAAATTTAAACCGTATACAAATGTGGTTCCCGGAAATTTTACTGCATCTTACTCAAGGCAATATTACGATTTAAGAGCGAGAAAAAATTAGTTATTGGCCGCAGAGAAACATATAGCTATAGCTAATTAATGAATAAAATATGATGTGTATGCGGGCCTAAACGCCGGCCGGCATTGTGAATATTTCATTACATGATTCTGTGATTGAAATTGTGTTGCAGCATGTATAGCGTAGCAAAAATTATTTCCTGCAATAGATAATCTTGAAGCCTGATCTTGAAGTGAACTTAGTGAAGTAAATAGGGCAACATAATTTCTGCAAATAAGGCATAAAGCAAAAACCAAAAAAGAAAAATATCTTGAAACCCAAGATATGGACTAAGACAATTAAATTAAATTAAGGCGTAGACTTTTTAAATGGTTATATTTCGATCCTATTAAAGAATATCATCATGCAGATCAACGATGATAATGATGCTAAAATTGGATCGAAATACAACCATTTAAATTTGCGTCTTGTTTTAGTCCTGCATATCTTTGGTTTCAATATGTTTTCATTTTTTTGTTTTTTACTTTATTTTCTTATAATTGCTGCAATTTGCCAAAAAAGCAGATTTTAATATTTACTCATGTTTGTAACTTATGCATTCGCCAACATTTTAATTAACATACGTCGCTTTTGTCGCGCAAATTGGGGCATTTTCTTGCTCGTATTACTTCACCTTTATTATCTCTTTATGTTTTAAAACTTAGTTAATTAATTTGTGAAAAATACTATAGGTAAAACTGCATGATACATTCGTTACGGTGACTAGAAGGAGTTTTATGACCTCGAGATAATTTTTGGTTAACTTGGCAGCAGGACAAACCATAAAAAATTCATTGAAATTGGATTAACTCAATGTCGGCTTGTTTGATGTTTATCACAAGATGTTGTGTTTAACATCGCCAAGGATGGCTACAATAATATTGTTTTCGTTTTTAGACCACGTTAAGCATGCAAGGTCATGCACAAGCCTTTCAATTAAGATGAAGTGCAGCAAGGTCACAAGAATTTACTGAGATAACACTTCGAGTGTGAGGTTCATACCCTCGCTTTGTGATGTCATTTGCGGGCTAAAGGCAATGTATACAAAGCAAAATTGCTACGTGGAATGCAAACATTGTCTCTTGTATAACACATTTTTAACTTTTTATTTTCATTTCGTGTTTAATAAATTACTGATAATTGAAGAGTCGTCTTGATATCTCTTCAAATATGTTTCTTTGCACCTAAAAGCACGATTTTCACAACAACGCATTTTGCAAAATTTCTCGAATAAATTTCGCACAAGCATCATTTTTTGTATAGTTTGAACTTCCACTTAGGGAATTTTGTCCACGAGAAACGTCATATGGACGTTAGGGGGTGGTGGTGGTGGTCGGGTGGGGGGGGGGTGTTGTAGTTGTGACGTTTCTCTGTAAAATATCATGGAAAAATTCGATAGTTTTTTTCGAAAGCCTTAACATTTCGGAATCATCTTTGCAGCATATAAACGGTACGTGTTTTTAGAAATATTGGAAATTTTTAAGTTCATGTACTAATGAAAAACATATATCAGCAGAAGATGACATATTCCAAGCATCCTAAAGTAATTTGAATTCAACTGTCTCGAAGACCGGTCAAAAGAACAAATTATCGATAATTATTGAAGATTGAAGCATACCAACTAATACACTACAACTCAATTTTGTTTTACCTCATTGCCAGGGTTCTTGCAACTGCATGCTCCCTATTTGCCTAAAACAATTCTGCGCTAATTGCAAAATCACTGATTATTACATAAATTATTTGCGACGTTAAAAGAGGCAACTAAAGGTTGAGAATTACTTATTTTTCGTATTCCAAGCTTGATTTATGGAATAATGCTGTTTCGTTTACAAATAGTGTAGTGAACATAGCCTCCTCCGCAGGCATCGCCTTTAAATTGGCGGACAGAATTGGAGTTTCTCAAACCCAAGCAACTCAAGTAAATTGAAATGAGTCATTTCAGTCTCTTCATAAATGAGTCATACTGGAGTCAAAACGCGGTAATCTAATGTATTTATAAAGATATAATGCAACCTTGTACCCAGGGCTTCTGTGGCTGATAACAGAAGCCCTGGGTACGAGGTTGGACTGAGTTGGGTATCAATGTTGCCTGCCTCGTACCCGTCTTGTGTAAAAGAGCGAGACGAGCGACGCGCGTATGATGGGCTTACATCTGGTTTACATGAAGTATTATAATGAGCGAAGCGGATTTCCCAACAGCCCCTTCTGGCGCCAGCCCATCACAATACTTCACGTATCCCTATTGTATAGCCTAAAGGCCATTTTCCACTTCAACCGTATCGTGTCGTAACGTAACGTAACGTAACGTAGCATTTTCTTTTGTGTCGAGGTCATTAGTTCCGCACTATGCCGCCCAGGAAACAACGAAATACGCTACGATTTGGTACGATTGAAGTGGAAAACAGGCTTATTGCTTGTTGCAGTTATTAGCGCTCTCCAGACTATTGCCGCTAACCCCAAATATGACATTTAACAATACTGTGTAATATTTGCATGGGTCATTGTAAATATATATCTTCTCTGGAAAAACCTGATATTGAAAACGTTAATCACAAATATATTTCTTCTTAGAACGACCCAAAATTTAGAACGACATAATTTGTATGGCAACTGATGTAAACTTTTTAAATTTTTAATCTACGCCCCTCTTGAAAACCAGCTTTTGCTGTAGGGGTTAGCGTAGTCAAATAAAGTTTTTACTTACTTACATCAATTAAACAAGCTTGGTACGGACCGTTTCCGTTACAGTTTCTGATTCTCAAAATACTGTTCTATACAAGACATCTGGTTTCATTCTTCTATAAAAATATCAATGTACAAACTTTTTTGGTCGGAAATGTGTCTTTTCCACTATTCAAGAAACTGTATGGAGCCACCTTAAATTTTGACGATGTTTGCATGATGGTCGGAAGAGTTAGTAGTTTTTATTCTATTTCAATATTTTAATTTTTCAAATAGCTTGCAGTATAATAAAACTATATCCTGGTCGATCAAAGTAAAGTCCCGGTCAATTGCAAACGAGGATGCATGAGAGTTGATGAGACAACTGTGATGAGACTTTGCAATTCCAGTGCTCGCGCTTGACCGCTAACTCTCAATGACTGACATGCATGTACTATCAACTTTAAGCTGGTTCAAATTTTGAACGCTACGCACGACCCATACAGTCAACTCTCATCAGCTCTCGTCCTCGTTTGACCAGGGCTTTAGCTATAGCCTCCTCCGCAGGCATCTCACCCGGGGAACCCATTCGCAGGCTATCATTGCCCCATATTTTAATGCACTGAAATGATTTCCACGGACTTAACTTTCCATGCATTTCGTGAGTGAATACAGCTACTTCAATTAAGGTTGTCCACGAGCAAAGCGGAAAAGTCGAATACGAGCGCGAAAGGCTGCTGGGAACCGCTTTGAAAATTCATTAATTTGTTAGCGATTCCCAGCAGCATTTCGCGCTCGTATTCCACTTTTCTGCTTTGCTCGTGGACAACCTTAATTGAAATAGCTGTATATCATATAGAAATAATAGATATAGAATGCGTACTTGATCACAAATCATGTATCCACCTTTTCTCATGCGTGGCCTTGTAAACCCGCCATTTTGTGGAGACAAAATGTTTACTGAGAAGAGATATACGCGAGCACGCATGCTGTATCTATTATTTCTACGTAATAGATAAACAAAATCAAAATTTTATACATGCATGTCCAGCCTTAGTACTACTTACATAAAAAACGTATACATATAACGTATACATATGCATTTTGTATGGAGAAAGATTTTTGAAAACTGAGGGAAAATGTAAGTTTTCCTAAAGGGTTTTATAAATAGCGCTTATTATCTTTGTTTATACCAAGTTTCTGGGCAACACAGAAATATAATATAAGCATGAAGACGGAATAGATATAATGATAATGTAACGTAGTAATGTTCAAGCAAGGATCATAAGGAAAGTATCACTAAGTCTTGTTCAGTGATATAGCTATATAACAAAGCAACGTTGAACAAAGTAACATGTATGAGGTGCGTGTATGGAGCTTCGCCCCAGGGCCACTACAAAGACTAAATGTTCAACATTACCAAGACAAAATCCTAGTTAAAGCCCTGTTAACAGCTGTTGCCCAGGCACTCGGTATACAGGAAGATAACATACAATTCTTTGCTATATTTGAAGGATCATTACTAAATCCTTTAAGAAAATTAGACGAGAATTGTGAGTTACATTTACCGTGTCAAAGATCTCTCTCGATACAAAAGTGGTCATTTGACATGGAAAAAGAAAAGATATCATTAAAATCAGATATGGCAGCATTAAAACTGCTTCGTTATCAAGCTTTGTCTAATATCCAAGAGGGTAGACTTAAGCCAAGTCAAGAAGAAATAGAGACGCTCGAAGGTTTCAGTTCATTCATGGTTGAAAATCAAGTCATTAACATTATTTATTCATTAAAGGATTATGGAGCAGTAATCATTGAAAATTGTCAACTTATCACAGAACTAACATTGCCTCAAGTTAGTTTGGCCAAGAGAGAATATATAACATTACAACTCGATCTTAAAGGGCTCACTCTTAGAACAAGTAAGTTTCAAAATCTAATTATAGTACTAAGCTTTCAAGTACTACTGTAGTTAAAATATGAGCAGCTGATCTTTATGGGCATTTAAAATGGCAAGCGCGCAGCGTGAGCCATTGTTAAATGCCCATAAAGATCAGTTGGATCATAAAGACATTGTAAAGTACTTGTAAAATAAATTTATTTGTTTACTTTATTAGTATGCACTGCCCATGGGGACAATCCCATGCATTTAAAATCTGAATTAGTATTGATAACTTTCATAAACATCCCTGATTCTGAATTAGTATTCATCATTTTCATAAACATAAGGGGTTGTTTATATAATCCCGCTTAAGCGAGATTCAATGAAGTGTGAATTATTTTGAGCAATTGAAATACGTTTTTCAGCCCTAAACAAAAGTTAGATAACTTTATAAATATTGTTTAAACGAAATTAGGAACGCGCTAGAAGTTATGTAGTGGAAGAAGACGATTAACTTAATAGCATTCAACCACATCTGATTTTTGTCTAAAACATGGAATTTCATTATACAATTTGTAATAAGCGATTTTGTTAGATGATGAAGTGCGACTTATTCAATGGCTCAAAATACTTCACGCTTCATCGGAATCCTGGGTAAGCGGGACCATAAAAACAGCCCCTAACATGACTTACTGATCTTTAATTAATGCGGTTTACATGCAAGTGTGCACATGTGACCTAAATACCGCGTCCTGATTTGTTTGTAGCCTTATTAATTATTCATGATTTTACAATATTTATTAACCTAAAAATGCGTATCTCACAACAGAAATACATTGTGGTGTTCGAGAAAGAATTATATCGATGAAATTTTAGGAATTCTATAAGGAAACAAGTTGCGCATGTTGCATGACCATAGTATCTTTTAATGCATATAACCATTGGAAACTATTGGGCACTCGCGACAGCAATCTCGTACCCAGAGCCAATGCCTTCCTAGCCCGCGCACATGCATTGCTCTGGGTACGAGATTGTCGCGAGAGCATCTATACATGCAGCTATATCAAATAGTATATAAATTATGTGATTTCATAAAATATTGATATACAATTTCGTTGTGTAAGGTAACACAGTGTGTGTTATTTCGTGGGGAAGAATTCACATGGTTAGTTCAAGTGGAAACATCGTAGAATATGAAGTACACGCACAGTCTCAGCTGATAAAATGGTTGCGAGTGGAAACACACCAAGCTGATTATCTCAAGTCAGTTACCTCAGAAATCTGGAAGATCCTCAATAAACGACATCATGCACAAGATTTAAGAAATAGTAAAAACACAGCAGCCGGTAATATTGCCCAAGCGGAGTATCCCTATCATTTCGGGAACTTTGACGAAATTTAAGTATACAGTTAGAATATGCAGATATACTGAAAATAAAGGTCTTGAGAAATTCACAATGTGGACTAAAAAGACCAATTAAAGAACTTCAAGATATTTCGCTTTTATTTCGAATCTATATGGGGCCAAAATCTTGGACATAACTGGTTCAGATCATGCACCTTCCTTTTTTACAAAATTCGCATACCCATTCGATCTTACAACATGTTATTTTAGATTAATATCAAATGTTGCTTGGATATCATTGACTTCCCAACTTTGAACTGGCGATGTGGAGCCATCACGTATGACTCGTTTATGGATATTAGCGACATTTTCAATTGTATCAACCGTTTTGTCCAAGTTTATAGACGACCCTTTAGTTATCAGTGTTTCATTAAGTAGTATTTGAAGTATTTTAAGAAGGAGAAAATTAAATTTGGGAACAACAAAATTGCAGGAACTTACAGTTACAACGCTGATTTTAACACATGCTATAAGCAGTAATCAAGAAATGTTTACTCACAGAATCAGATGACGCTACAATCAGCTTTTCTTGGAAGTTGCAGCAATTTTGTTGCCCGTACAGTATATTTCAATCTTGACTTTAAAATGACTGAGAACAACCCTAATAGCATGCTATTCGTATCTTTAAATACGTGTTAGAGACAAAAATACGACCAAAAATAGGGAATAAAGTAGATAACAGTTTTATATGCTGAATAGGCATTAACCTACTTGCACAGACTGTGTCAGGAGATTCATATTCTTATCGCCGTCGGCCAGTAGGAGTTTTCTTTGCTACTGTTTTAACAGGCTTTTTCTTTTGTCCTGACGAGAACCAGTTTGTAAGCATATCTGAGAATTCAGGCATTTCTTGCGATTGATTGAACATATTCATCGAGTTCATTTCCTGCATAAAAAATAAAATGATTGTATTTATTATATGGCTAGGCGATCCATTTGCAAAATGCAGCATTTTGATTGGTTCCTGAGCGGTTGGTACTGCTCACTGATCTGATAGTATGAACCGCTAAGGTGGACTACTCGCGGAGAAGAACTTAAAAAACTCTTTTCCCAGTAAAAATGACTACTGTCTAAATATGTGACTTTGGAAAGTTTTAATAGTATAATATATTCTACTCTATTGAGGCCGACTCACGGATGAGATCAAATGAAAGTGATAGAAAGAATTAACTGAGTAGTTCGCAGTTGTTTTTGCAAACGAGCACCGTGCAAATTTTGCCATTTGTCGTGTTTCTCTCTCAAAAGAACGAACGCGTGCTCTAGCCCGATTCCCGGATCTGAAAGCAAACAGTGCGAGCCAAGCTGGTTGGTCATTTCCCATTGTTTAACTGCCCCACACTCAAGTAACCACAAAGACTCACAGAACGCAACATCCGTGAGTCAAAAACGATTTTTATAACATTTAAAATGCTGACAGAGTAACAGTTAATCTATAGAACCGTCTGTATGTGCCAGGGTACACTGTATGTATAGTGCCAATAATAACAAACCTGATAGGGATACAACTATCTGGAAAATACAAGGAAAACTTGGATGTTTCGAGCGAAGGTCCTTTGTCGGGAAATTAGTAGCGGAAGTTAGTTAATATTTGTCGCGATTGTCATCAAACTAAGGTGAGTGAAACTCTATGGTGAAACTGGGCTAAAAAATGCTCTGTTTTTGACTTTCAGTATATTAATTTAATATCTGAAAATATGTTGTTTATCTCGTTTTAATATCGTTTTATCTTTGTCAAAAATTGTTCACAACAATTTAAAACCCTGTTTTTTTTCGAACAAGTGCTCTTGATTTTAGCCATATAACTTATTGACTGAGCTTGTTAGGAGTAATTAGTTTTGAGTGATTAGTTATGATCTGTTTAAGCCAGTGGTTTAAGCCTGGTTGATAATTTTTGTCGGCGATTTTATCAGATGCGAATGAGTGAACTTTCACGCATTTCTAAAACTTTTGCATGTCACTCATTCACATCCGCCAGGAGGAGAAACATCGCTTCTGTTAGCTAACAGAATTGCTAGTGTGAACAAGGCTTTAGGTTGAAGGCAGTTTAGCATTCACTAATGATCTTGAGTAAGGCAGTTAGCATATCACTTATACCTTTTGTGTCTCTGGATCCATTTGTCCCATCATTTTAGGTAAGACAAGCAGCAACAGCAAAGGAAGAATCATCATTAAAACCTTAAAAATAATTAAATTTATAAAATTATTGCATAAAATTTAAAAACGAGTTGAGGCACAAAAATGATTGGTTTAATGATTTAATATATATTTCCCATATACACAATAAAGGCCTATACTATAGCCTACCATAAATTACTAGAATAATTTACAAATATAAAGAATAACTTAATGTATAACCTATGTACTATAATATATAACTATAAATAATAGTAAAAGAAACTAACAAAGTAAAATCAAGGTTGTTTCAATAACAAAAATGACATTAGTTTCTGTTTCAAACTAGCTAATGAAGTGGCCTCTGCAATTGCTGGTGTTTATGACTCACAAACAAGCATAGTTTTCTCGGCCTCTCCAGTAGTTATCTTTGACACCAGTTGGAAAATGATTGATAAATATACATTTATCCGGAGTTTCGAAACGTTTCCTCAGCTGGATTGCATTCATTAACTAAACCAGATCAACATATATATGTCTGAAATTGAGCGAGTTACTTGACATGCAACACTTACCATAGGATTAAACAAGAAATCTTTGATTTTCCATGCTTCACGCTTTTCAAAAAACTTGGCTGGTTCTTTGACTTTAAATTTCAGAGGATATGGTTGAGTAACAACAGCAGAATTTTGAAGAAAATTAACTTTCCTTGCTCTTATTTTTCCTCGTTTAGCATTAATGTCCACACGAACTGGTTCAAATAAATGATTAGGCGAGGCTACTTCAACAATATAGGAACCAGATGGAACATCACTGATGATAAATGAACCATCTGCTTTCAGAAAACCAATATATTCACCACCATTTACTAAAACTCTTGTTTGACTTGCCCATTCTAGAATCATGAACATGAAAGTATTCAACTACATTGTACTACACTAAATGACAATGTGAAGCCTTTATTTAAGGTACAGCATGCATTAGTGTACAAACCTAATAGAATGAGATGGAATAATTAAAAATTACAAAATCCAATCATTCAGTACTACAGTAGATTACAAGATGAAATTGTAAATGTGGTAGACCTTTAATATAATTTGTTGAATTATATTAAACCAATTCTAATAGAATTTTAATAGAATTTGTTCTCTCAATATAATCTTGAATTATTTAATTGCTGGAAGTTTCCAATTTTTAAGTCTGCGCTGTTCCATACTTTAATTGTGACAATACCTTCTTCCATTTTATATGTTAACAACCTTCAAGGTCACATTGACATTGGAATACAGGTGTCTTGTATATATTTAACTTAAGAACATTCATAAAATATTGTAAATCTTGGCTCATCATAGTTAACAGGATATACAGTACATGTATGACCCAATTAAATATGCCCTCACACTGGACACCTTGCAGCTGGCCAGCTTAAACATGCAGCACTCTTTTGCAGTCGTACTACTCTATCTGTGGTTCAGGGCTCACTATTAGTATATGCTGCAATAAATATGGTACCCAAATATCAATGCATCCAAAGTCATATTACTTACTAGGTGCCTGATACAGATTCATACATTCTGATTCACAAGATTATAAACATCATTTGGCTTATTAATTTATAATATCATGATTATAAAATTAGTAAGTTAAGTTTCTTTTTTTTCAGGGGGAAGGGGAGAGTTTCCCCTGCTATGCATGGTTTTTATCTGGTCCTATACTAAATAGCAATTTTCGCCAGGTTGTGTGCAATGGTGCACACACCATCCCTGGTGGAATCATATGTGTATTGCACATTATTATAATTATTATAGTGAATATGCATGGTGAATAAGAGAGAAGTGTACAGCCAATGTACTGCATTTGATGCATGGTAACCAAACAACTAAATAATTGTGCAAGGGTTCTACTTCTGAGTTATCATTAGGTCAAGAGCAACAATAATGAGCACTTATTTTTAATACACAAAGAGAGAGCATGAACTGGTAGAAAATATTAATAAGTTTATATCAAGTGAATGTGGAAGGGCTTCACAAATCTTGCTTATAAATATACGGCAAATGAGTCTGTTCAATTTGTTAGTAAGATAGCTTGGTAGAAGCCACAAATAATGTCCAAATTACAATGGGCTTCCTACAATGCACTCGATTGATGTTGGTTTGTTTCCATATTCATAACTTGAACTGTGACTTGAATAATCTCAACAAAATATGAAAAATTCAACAGCATTTTAATGTTGTCATGCTTTGGAAAATGGGCATGAAAAAAAAAAGAAAACATTCAGTTTAGTCATGAAGCATTTTAGGCTTTTTTAGCCAATAGAATGCATTGGTCTGGAATTGATATAATTAAGTCATGCCCACCTGAGGAGGGCACATGGCTAATGGGCAGATTTCCCGTTAATTTTAGGGAAAATTCAGACTAAAAGGTTCAATGCAATTTTTTTACTCATGCCTAGCAATATTACCTAATTACCTCTGTGTGCTAATGGTTTCTTGGTGTCTATCTGATTGTTTGTTTGTTTATTAATTGTTGTGATGTCTTAAGCTACATTGTCAAACAAGATTTTGTATTGGGCATGTATGTTTGGATGTCTTGCATTGTAGCTTGCACTGAAATTTCAATTTGCAAATGTGATAATAATATGAATGTTCACTCGAATTAGCAAATTCCAATTAGCAACTGCAATAAACAGAAAAATAGATGGAAATTATACAGCGTGTGTGTTATATTTCCATAATCAGTTGCATCATCTAAATATCGTTCTAGCCAAAATGACATGCTTTCCCAAAGTGTGTATTAATATATAATTTGGGTCATTCCAGAAAACACCCATACCTCCCCCACGGCAGGAAATTGGAAGTTAACCTCCTGCCCCCTTCGGATGTCCTAGTATACTTCACTTACTATTATCAGAAACAATTTTTTCTCTCCTCCCTCTCCGGACAGCAGAAATTTTCTGTGGGGGGAGTGTGGATCTTTTCTGGAACAACTCTTTATAAACCTTGTAACATCATGTTTTAAAAAATCACACTGGGACTGCTGAATTCATAAAATTTCATCATTGTCAACATTTTTGAAATTTTTTGAAGAATTTTCATTGTATCGATATTTTCTTAATATAGTATTAATTTAGTCTATTTCAATTTTCAACTGCTGCAATAAATATTTGAAGTGTCTATACAGCCTGCAATTTAGTAAATTGCCGGCTATATACTGTGACCAGTTAAAGTTGAATTTTTATACCCATATTCTAATACCTAACCTAACCTTTTGAGAGTTAGAAAAGGCGGGGGAAAACAGACAAAACACATCCTGTCCCGGTGTCACAAGTAATTTCCCCCCCCCCCAAAAAAAAAATTTGGCCCCCCCTGGAGAAACTATGGCTCCCCCTTCAGAAATTTAGCCCCCCACCCCCTAAAAAATTATAGTTTACTTCATCTTTAGGCTTGGAAATCGTGAAGCTTCTACTAAAATGGAATTTCTAGAAATTTTTCTCAACATTTATAGCTAGTTTGCATTATTTTTTGTGTCAACATTCTCCATTGAATTGCAATACTGATGAGATTAGGTCAAGAGCAAATTTTAGCGTACTTTTCACGTTTGGTTTTGACCAGCTTTGTAGAAGGCAACGTTAATAAATAATGGCTATATCATTAAGCTATGGAAACGAAACGATTTTCATAATACTTAAAATGATACGATTTTTGCTTACCCTAATACTTAAAAGGCATTAATCATTCAAACCTTTGTGCTTTTGTTAGACTTGCCACAAGTCGACCATGGGGGAGGGAGGGTGCGGGGAAGGGAACGCGCGACCCGCCTTGTGTCCCTTGCAGGAATTTAAATCGCATTAAAAATTTTGGCGCGAATAATTTTGACATAAAAAGGGTGTGTACAGTACATTTCATACAATTACTCCACCACGCCGACAATGGGTCAACAAAAACACAAAAACATTCTCAAGAATTGATATTTCTTTGTCCTCAAATGAAACAGTTTGCACCGAGTGTGGAAACGAAATAACTGGGAGTTGTTAATTGTCTAACAATGTGTGCCGTAATTGTGTCAACAAGAATAGTAATTTATTAGACTTATTATAGAAAGTTGATTCAGTTCGCGAGCGATTTAACATAGTAGAAGTTAATCAAATTGAAAAGAGTCAGACAACTGTATAAACCGAGAAGCAGAGAGGCGGCGATTGTGATCAACTGACGAGCAGACATCGTCAGAGTTCAAAATCCACGTTGTTTTCTCAACGAACAATTTTGTATTAATAATCAGTAATCGAGATCAAGAAACCCAAACTAAATCCGAAACTAGTGAGGAAATTTTAGAATCATTAGATGCATCTTCGGTATTAATAAAGTTTATTTCTACACCCTGTACTTTTAAATATACTCAATGTAATATTCTTGTTTGTGTATTTTCACATGGTTTTTGTGTTCTTCAAAATTGTATTTACATTGTTTACTCTGTTTGCTTCAATAATACACATTTGTTCAACAAAAAAGCCTGACAATATAATATTATTTTTAGACTCCTGTAAACAATGACGTCACCGGTGGATTTTTCCACCGTTGATATTTGGCGCGCTGCAAGTGACAAAAGTCCTTTCCACGGAGGAAGTGAAGCGCACCATAGAAGGGTCTGGACTCTGGAAAGGACTTTGGAAAGTCTATGCTTTTGTGTGTGTGGAATGTTTTTGTGAGCCATGAAGCATGCAGTGCATAATTTAGCATGCAGTCTACTTTTGTTTTTACGGAATGCTTCTGTAATGCATCCCAACCATATGAGCGATTATATATACTGTGTATAATGTAAGTAAAATGCATAGGAAAAGGGTTTTTTTTTACGAAATAACCACTTGTTTGATTTCGTTTTTCGAACAAACGTTTCCACTTTTAGTCTACTTTTACCCTAAAGTGCGGTACTTATTCTGACTAATTTTACACTATGCGACTGAATTTCTAGATCTAAATAACTTGTAATATCTTAGAAATTCCTATCTCTAAAAATCGTTTCATGTCCTTAGCTTAAAGATAAGCCATTATGCATTAACATTGTCCTCTACAGATACCCATGTGTGATGTGTCTGGCAGGGATGAGCCGATACCAGAAAAAAGCTGATTCTCCGATCCAATATATCGGAGCCGATATAAAAAATAATCGGCCGATTATTAATCGGCTATGGCCGATATTTCTGTGTAAAAGTTGAATAAAAGTTTAAAACCTGGTACAAGCGCCGGATAACGTTTTTTGACAACTTTTAATACTAAGTCAGGGGCGTAGCTAGGGGGGGTGCTGGGGGTGCCACACACCCCAATGCCGTGTCCGTCGGCACAATAAATCAGTTCTCGGCAAAATAAATTGGATCAAGCCAATAGGCAATACATGATTGGAGAGAGATTGTTTGTAGAAAATTTGTAGAAAATGCAAGATCGAAAAGATGGATATGTCGTCCCTTTTCCGAACATTCAGCCAAATTGACCAAGAACTTATTACGCTATTACGCTATTAGTAATAGTATTATATTTTCTTGCAATTTTGTGAAATATGATACCATAGGAAACTCGAATCACATGTGCGTGTTGACTGTTGATGCGTCTGTGCTTCATTTCATAATTTTGTAAAGCCAGTAAAAGTCTTAGAAATTACACCTAACGGTCTTATATACAATGAGAAATACGAAGATGATTTAAAAGTATGGACAGTAGCAAGCAAAAACACAAACGGAAGAGAGAGAAACTGACGTGTTTAGTTTGTAATTGGTCGTTTGATGACGATTGGATGTGCTTTTCTGAAATTTATACCATGTATTTTAAGGAACTATTTCGCCTATTTTAAAAATAAATTATCTTACTACTCGGATTTCATCGTTGTACATCACTTAAAAATGAATACGGTTCATTTTGACCACGCCCTAACAACGTGCTAGCCACGCCCTTTTGTCTGCAAAAAGTTGTCTTGCACCCCCCGAAAAGGATAGTCTTCGCTCCGCCCCTGTACTAAGTGTCTTGTGTATACGCCACAAATTGACGTACTAGTTTTAGTGTGTTCCGGGAAATATTTACTCATATTGGACAGTTATCGGTCACTGTACGAGTCAAATGAATCAAACGCAAAAATATAAATGTATAATTGGAATTCACTCTATTCAATATAATTTTAACTTACAAGTGGTCTTATTCCCTCGAGTAACACAATATGGGATTAAATACGCACAACAAAAGTGTCAAAAACAAGACGGAGTGTAGATTACTAGATTATAGAATTATTTTTCTTAAAAAAAAAAAAAAATTGCGAATACCGGCAAATAGCCGATTATAAAAAATAATCGGCCGATTACCGATTATTTTGAAAACGCCAAATATCGGCCGATTTATCGGTACCGATATCGGTACCGTACCGATTAATCGGCTCATCCCTAGTGTTTGGCATGACTGCACTAGCACATTTATTATTATTACGCTTTCCTTCAAACTTTTAGCTCTTGGCCGCAATGAAGAATTTCGACACAAATAAATTATGTAAACTAACTATAAATACTGACAAACACTTTTAGGATCTTGGTTTTAGAAGAATCTTCACAATTTCCGAGCTTATAGCGATAAAGTAAACTATGTTTTCGAGGGGGCCAAATTTCCGAAGGGGGGGGGGCATATTTCCTAGGAAATATGGTCCCCAGGAGGGCCAAATAAATTTCCTAGTTAATTTGGCCCGGGGGGGGGGGGGTGGACAAAACTAGGAAACTTATGAAGTAGCACAAACAAAAGGTTTTATATGTAACTATCTATAGTCAGTATATAGCCGGCAGTTTTACTAAATAGCTGAATAGAAACTTCGATAAAATATTAACCAGTACTGAGTAAAATAAGACCTTTTTCTCAAAATGGGAGTCATACTTAATATAGAATATATCAAGACTTTAAGAGGTTTTGTTATTATTTGTCATGTTAACCAGGTTGTTCCAGTATTCAGGCAATACAGTGTTCTTTCTTACATATAAGTGGGAACTCGTTGGAACAGTGGAATTGCTATTAAATTTTATAATTTGATCGAAAACAGTTGAAACAACGCTGTATAATACCTGGTAGTTTATCTCCCTGGATGATAACTTTCCCTTCAATAAAATGTCTTGCATTTGATTCCTCTATTTCATCCTCGCCAAGAGATTGTTGAATATAAACATTTAGGAAAATAACAAACACATAAAGAAACGACTTCATTTTGAAACTATTCAGTAAGTATGCTATACTTCATGTAAACCCAACAAAATGGCACGCGAGAAAAATCCGTAGCGCATTTTAAACTTGCAATATTCCGGTTGACACGTCACATTTCACATTTGCATGCCTATTACCAGGGGCGCCGGAGCCACGGGGGCAGCGGGGCAACTGCCCCCGTTGCCGAAACAGTGCGAGGGCGGCACGGGGGCAACAGGTTGCCCTTTTTCACCAGAACTGCGCTTCGAAATTTGTGTGTTATTCACATGAATTGGAATTTATAACTATTTTTAAGCAATGTTTAATCAATCTTTGCTAAATTTTAACCAGTTATAGAAAAATTATTGCCTGAGGCCGCGGAATCACTTTTGTATAATTATGATCAAAATCAAACGATTTTATGTCGTTCACGAGCCAACGAAAATTTTTTGAAAATATGGAGTCCCTATAACTTTGGAAATGGCATTTACAGAGTCTTTACTACTGCAAAAAGGGCACTTTCTTTCTAGCCCCCCAAAAGGCCATTTTTTCACTTTTAAAAAAGTGGGGAGGCACATGCCCCCATTGCCCCCGGCTCCTCGGCCGATCAGGATTAATGCTAAATCAGGCAATATACGTCCGTTTACTGATTTTATTTTGCGCCCTTAACATGGTGCAACAAATAAAATTGTTCAAAATTAATGTCGAAGCTTGCCGACCCACAACAGCCACAAGTATATCCATACAATAAAGTTTTAACAAATATTGCCGCCCAGAAAAATGATGACTGAGAAGCAAGTGCCCTTTTGAAATGGCTGCCCCCGCCGTTTCACATTGCTTCCGGCGCCCCTGCCTATTACTCGCCAAATTTTTTAGATATCTATACAAAACTACATATCTTCTGAAATCGTATTTAACATAGATTCCAAAAATACTAAGGTCTTTCTCATACCTTTAATATTTATCCTGCCATCTAGTAATTAAACACAGTGTATGTCTCTGATACAAATCACTGTTTATAGTTGAGAAAAAATAGAGCCTTACGCCTTTACGGACTTTACGGCCATTTTAATGAAATTTTACCACTAATAGCTATTAGTTGACTACAAAACAAGTCGATTGTTTTGAGCGATGGAATTTTTTACGTTGCATGTAGTTTTTGCACAACACTACTGCAAAGTTTTGGTTCGATTTATGAGCCTTTTCTTCCAAAAATCCTGGCATATTTCCTCTATAAAATCAGGCAGTCAAGATTACCAAATTCTATTGCTCAAAACACTTATCATGATGAGCTCGGCTATCAACACTGAAAATTTCAGCCAGTTTGGTCAAATTGCAGGGCATTTTTTAAGAATTCGTCAGTGGGGGGGCCATCTACAAAAAGGGACCATACCATACCGAGTGTGGAGCAATGATAGATGGTTTGTTGGTAACAAAAAGTTTGGTGTGGTATCGCATTTAATAGTAGGGGGGGTGAGAGCAGGGCCTTAGGAAGCTCTTTTCGTTTGGGGGGGGGGGCTGAAAGCGAGGGCCGAAGGCCCGAGGAAATTTTTAAATTTAGAGTCTCTGAAATGCCATTTCCTGGACTTTGGGGAAGATTTGACAGATTTCTGATTGTCAGAATACAGCGTTTTTAGTATGTGGAAATTTAGAATTCAGTAGTACTAAATGGACGAAGGTGTATTTAATTAACAATATATTGGATAAGTTGCAGGAAAGTATGGGTAATATCTTCATTCTTTGCAGTTTGTCATGGATTAAATAATAAAGGTCTGCATGATTTTAAAAAATGAATGATTATTAGCAAATTACTGGGGGGCTGCAGCCCCCCAGCCCCCCCCCCCACACCGGGCGCGGTTGCTACGGCCCTGGAGAGGGTCTGGGGTTTTCTCCCCCAGAAAATTTTTGTATTTTTCTACCCCTATGACTGCAATTCCCTGCATTTTCTGAAACAGATTTTTGGATATACAGCATTACATTATGCTGTAGATAGACTGAACCTTCAGTTAAGTACTTGCATAGTATGTTTATGTAGATACCACAACTTGGCAGTCACTTAGGGAGCCAGCTTGATAAACTTAGAGTTCCCGACTCCCACGAAGCGCCACCATGGTTGGCACAGAGTGGAAAAATTTTGAAAATTTTGCGTCTCTAAATCATCGGAAATGGCATTTTCAAAGTCTTCTATACGTCTTTTGTTTGGCCCTTTCATTAATTCGTTCATTATGATTTGTGAGTCTATGATCGATATCCGCGAGTCAGGATGGATTATTACAAGAAATGTTATCAAAATATCGATTACAGATATTTGATTATATGTATATATAATTTCAAATACTTCTAGTTTCGAAATCAAATTGGTTTTTTTTTGGTGGGGTTCCAAAATTATCCCCCCCCCCCTTATAAAACACATGGTTGAGGGCCTGTTGCCCCCTGCGGTCACTAACTTGTCCAACAACTCAAACTCTATAGGGTCTGGGAAATGCAATCCACTGCCTGGGAAATGTTTAAAATCTAATAAGGTATTTATTAAACATAAAAGACAGGACATAAGATTCACAAAGCAAATTTCAGTTACTAGAATATCAAACCTCCCTTCTAAATTCAATGTTTTGCTTATATTTTAGAGAAAAGGGACTTTGACTGGGGGGGCCAAAATGGTTGAGTGGGGGGGGGGGGCACCATGGGGGCTGGGGGGGCTTTGGCCCCCCCCAGTTATATAGTTAAAAAATGCCCTGTCAAATTGGTAAAGAATTATCTTTTCTCAAAGACGAAACTGAATACCACATTTCGGGAAAATGGCTATAAGTATAAACATGGATAATAAAATATTTTATTATCCATGGTATAAGTTATCAAATATGAACTACCAACAGCGCTGTAACAGTTACAGTTTATTTGTAACTAGTTACAGTTATAGTACATTACCAAAAACATAACTAGTTACCGATACAAGTTTAATACAGATGCCAAAGTGTAACTAGTTACAGTTACAAAGTTACAATATATTTTTTATAACTTAGCAGGGGCGGCGGAACAGGGGGGGCTAGGGGGGCTAAAGCCCCCCCCCCCCAGAAGTAAAAGTGCCCCCCCCCAGAAAATTTGAATTTTTGGAAAAAATTTTGATAATTACGGAAAAATTTAGGTTATTTTTTGTAAATTTAGGTATGAGGGGACAAATTTGCAATATTTTGTTTAAAAAAAGTCTATTTCGGAAAAAATTTTTAGATATAAGTCCGAAAAAAATTTTTTCGTCCCTTTTTTGTATATTGTACCCCTAAAATGGTACACTGACCGAAATTTTTTTGGCGACGGGAGGGGAGGTCGCCGAAAACATTTAGCCCCCCCAGAATGAAATCTGTTCCGCCGCCGCTGTAACTTAGTTACAAGTTACCCTGATTTATTGATTGCAATTAAGAACGCATATAATTCGAATGGCCGAATGGTAATGAAACTTGCGGCAAAATTATTGGCAAAATTAATAACTATTTAGGGAGCATTCATTTTTTAGCTGGGGGGGGGGCGGAGGAACTGATGTCTAATTCCATGCTAAAACTTGGAACCCCCAAGAGAAAAGTTGATAAAAAATTATGACCCCCTATTTTTTTTACTGAAAATTTTTTTGACCCCTCATCCTAACTATTAGCGAACTTAAAGCCCGTTCTCCACTACGCGAATTTGTTCGCGCGACGCGAAGCGAAAACCGAAATCCGGCAACGTGATTGGTCGGCGAAAAAATTCGCGGCGAAAAAGTAGGATCGCTTCCTACTTTTTATCTGTTCGCGCGAATAAATTCGCCTAGTGGAGAACGGGCTTAAGATCTACGACGCGGCCGACTCAACGACGCGCTTGCGAGAGAAAGAAATTTGTCATGCCGCAAGACAAAAACTGTGAATCAATAATTTGTGATCCCAGGAGTATTCTCAACGGCTTTGTCATTCTCAACACAACGTAAAACTAAGTTTTATCACGTCTTTCATGCAACCTGAAAGCTTATTGCGACCCAAGAGGTGTTACTTATTAAAGTCTAAATTACAGCAAACATTGCATCGCTTTAGTCGAACTTAGCAGTTTGTAATGTTATTTGAAAAATCTTCAAACATTTATTACAGTAATAAAATTGCTTAGCGCTCATTCTTGAGCTGAAATTCAGACTGCGCGTCGTTGAGGCGGCCGCGTAATAATCCACACGGTGTCGTTTCCGTAGCGTTTCAGGGCCGTAGGAAGATCTTTTTGATGGGGGGGGGGGGGGGGGGGGGGGGAG